AGGAAACTGCAGCTAGAGAAACTGCTTAATGAATTTCCACTTCTTCTGTATTTATCTACTTCTCTAATTCAGAGTTCAAGAGCTCTTAGGATGGTTCATTTGTGCCCAAGTACAACACACACACACACACACACACACACAGACACACACACACACACACACACACAGTATCAGAAATTCATTCCTTTGGGACGTGTTGACCTCTCCAAAGAGTTTGGTTTTTAAATGGAGACACACATACCTGTGTGTGTGTGTGTGCCTGTGTAGTCAGGCACACACACACACACACAGGGGCCGTCAAACTTTTCTGTAAAGGTACAGATAGTTAATATTTTTGGTTTTGTGAGCCAGATGGTCTCTGTCTCAACTACTCACTGTGCTGTTGTAGTGTCGACTGAAAAAAAGTGCACAACCTGAGAGTTGTGAGTTAAGTTTTACTGGGGGCAAAATGAGGTCTGTCGTCTTGGAGACGGCACTTCAGAGAGCTCTGAGGAAGTGGTCCAGAGAGGCAGGCGGAAGGTCAGTGTTCTGTGTGACTTTAGTGAAGGGGGACGTGCAGTGAAGCACGCATGTTGGCAGAGGCTGGCTGCTAGTCACGAGGAGCAGACGTCACCATGAAGGATTCTAGTGCTTTCCTAGATACAAAGAGATGCAAGACTTGGGCTCATCAAATCTTCTCCTGAAAATATCTAACTCTCTGAAGAGCTGTTCTGCCAGTTTTTCCTAGAGCACAGAGGGCCTCATTCCTGATCTCCACCTTGAATTCCTTTCAGGGGGTGTTGGAGATCAGTGGCTGCAGTGGTTAGTGACGTCATCCTTGTAGAGGCAGATGGCAAGTGCCAATTTGTAGTTGGCAGGCGCATGAAAGCAGCTGTACACAAAACAAAAAGTGAATGTGCATGCCTGCATTACAATAAAAGTTTATTTGTGGGCACTGAAATGTCAGCTTCACATAATTTTCACATCACAAAATATTCTTCTTTTGAGTTTTGGGTTTGTTTTTCCCCAGCCACTTGAAAATGTAAAACCTCTCTTAGCTCGTGGGCTCTACAAGAACAGGTGGTGGGCCAATTCGATACAGGGGCCATAGTTTGCTGACCCCTGGTGCCATACATTCACTCACTGACACAGAAAGCATCCTTCCATTCCTCACAATCTAAGCTGTGAGGACAGCTCCGCTCTGTTGATGCGAGCACCGTGCTGAATAAAGAAAGTCGTGCTATGAGAGGAAACGATAAGGCAGTTGGAGAGATGCCTGAGATCAATGAATTTAAACTCATCCCCAGTTTAGGCCAGTGTTTGTCAGCTTTGGCTGGTGGTAGGGGATGCGGGAGCCGTGGTAAAACACATGGATGCCTAGATCCCGTGCCCAGAGGCTCTGATGTGGTTAGTCTTGGGTGTGGCCTGGGCATGGGGATGTTTAAAACCTCCCCGGATGTTTCTGATGTGCAACCAAGGGTGAGGGCCACCCAGCTCGCATAAGACGGTGTTGACAAAGACATTACATTTGGGGATCACCAAAAACTGGAAGGTTGAGCCACGTACAGCTTTTTTCCCTTTTGTTTCTCCTTTTTAACACCTCTTTCCCATTTAACAGGCTCGCGTCACTTTCTAAGTACAACCTCCCTTGCCTGTCCCTTCCATACTTATTTCAGATCTGATATAACCAAAAGAAGTTAGGACAGCGTGTAAACTGCAGAACGAATGTCATGCCACCTCTGTGTCATGCTACGCCCTAGCCTCATTGTCCCAGTGAGTGTCGTATCTCTCAGGTTAATGCTGCCTTTGGCTGGTCTTTAGGGGAGCATTCCTTTACCCAGGCAGGCACAGGCTCAACCTTGTCAGCCTGCTCTGGGAAGGTTGAATCCTGGGAAATTCTTTCCGGGCTCCAAGTCCTGGGAGACTTCGCTGTAAACCAGAAAGGCAACTCGTTAAATTAGAGTCTCTGTCCCCTATCCTTGGATTCTTTATGTAGAAATGGATATATCTAGGAAGCCATTTTCAAGGTTTTGGGCCAGCATGAAATTAGAGATAACAAAACAGAAGGCTTTTAAAAAGCATCTCATAAGCTAAAGTAAATGACACTCTTTCTTCCCCTAGGGAATGTGTCTTTCAAGTAACTCAGAATTTCCACGCTCCCCAGACAGTGTCATATTCCCCATACTTCGGGCCCTATTAGAACGAGATAAATGTATCTTTTTCTTGTCGGTTTCCCCCTAAGCCAAGTTCAGCTTCAAGGTTTGGTAGCACTGATTTCTAATACTTCTAATTTAAATATCAGTTACAAGATATCGGGATCAGAAATAGCTCTTTCTTAATTGAGCTTTAAATTTCTCTAATTTAGGCTTGAGGAAGCTTTTATCCTCTTTCTGTTTAAGAGGTGAAGATTCATGTATTTTATGTCAGATTTTACATAATGTCCAAAAGGGTTGGCACCCAAATATTTATGATATTCCACCTCATTAGACTAAGTCTTTTCTAGTTTAATCAACTGAAACATTCAACTGAGAGGAAAATATTTTTAAGAAGCTCACAGTAAATGTCAGGGGTAAATATGAAAGTATATGCCATTTTTGAGATAATGCTTCTGGCACCAGTAATTTCCAGTAGCTGGCTTATGATCACAAGACTTTTTTCCTTATTACAGGATAGCCTCTTGAATGTCATCACCACAATTAATCACCTTCTGCCAGAGCTTCCACATAAGTAGGACTTTGGGTCCTAGGAAGGCTAATCCATGATGGGGACTTTTCCAAAACTACCTGGGTCTGAGAGGACCTTCAGCACAGACACAAGCAGAAATACCCACATAAATCCCCTTGGACCATAACGTCTGGGCTCCTTTCTGCAAGATGCAGTCCTAGCCTTTATTTTTAAAGGAGATTTTACCTAAAACAGGAGGGAGAGATTTTTGTGGTAGTATTGTTATAAGAGTAGGGAACCTGTGAACACAGGGCAGGATCACTGGGTAGGTCTCTAAGACCTTTCTAAGTTGGACTTCTGAGAATAAGTAGCATCCCTTGGGAAAGGTATGAATATATTTAACTGTTGTCAAATGTAGCACCTGAGATAGGAGGACTCAGGGAAATCACCAAGGAACTGAGAATTTCAAATTGTATCAATGTACTTAATCACAAAATTTTATTTTCTTGTTGTTCGACTCAAAAGACACAGTCATAGCCCCCTCCTGAGCAGAGTCCATTGTACTATAATTTATTCAAAGTGCTGCTTCTAGAAAGAAGCAGCAGGCTCTGTTTCTGTGTAGTATCGAAGGACTCCTACCCAGAAAATTTTCCTAGCTCTCTTAATCAAATTGTAAGGAACGAACTCTCAGGTCTCTGATCCTTTCGTTATCTTCTGCTTGATAGCATCCTTCTACATTCTATCCATGTAGAACCTGCCTGGTTGTGACAATTTGATCTTGGTGAAATGATGAATAAGCAGTGTGAGAAACTAGCGTGAGTGTGAGTGTAGGCTTTGGATAAGCAGACAATTCTGTTTTTATCCTGACTTTGTCATATACTAACTCTGTCGTGTATGCACACACACACACGCATGCATGTATGGAGTAATTGCTTAACCTCTCCAAGACTCAGTTTCTTTATCTTCAAAATAGGAATGTTAATACCTTTTTTTTTTTTTTTAACATGGATTTGCGGAATGGGGAGTGTCAACCACCTAGAAAATACTCAGTAAATGCAGCTGCTATTTGCATAATTATCGAGAGTGTTGGTGGCTGCTCGTATCAATAAGGGCATATTTGGTTTTGGTGGCTTCTCTGGTGCAGAGCCTTGAAAAAACTTACGAGCTGTGGTTGACAGCTCCACTGGTCATTGCTGATTCTTTCTTCTGCCAGATTTATCTTCTAGTAATGACCCGTGCGCCATCATTCTTTTTATAAAACTGCCCTTCCTTTATTCCTATAAGTCTCTCCTCTTACTGGCTCAACTGTGAGCTCTAATCACTATTGTGCTTTAACAAGAAGCTGTTTATTATTATAGGTGCACTGATAACTTATTAAAATAGTAACTGAAAGTGAAATTCATAAGGGCTTATATTTTCCCATTTAGCATATTTTGTACTCACTGAGAACAAAGGATAAAAGAAGAACAAACACTTCTCTTAAACTAATTTGTCAAAACTTATTTACTTATGAAGCTCCATTTAATAAGAAAATTGTGATCACCTCCAGGCAGGAACTGTTTTTTCATTAATCACTATTGAATGGCATTGAATCAGGTTTAGCAAACATGAAAGTGAATCAACCCCGTTTACAAAATGTCATTATTTTTATCCTACATTCATTAAATGTGCGCCATGAGTCAGTCACTAAAAACAACACTGAGAAAATATAATCGCCAGTCTTTGATTACATAGGTACCGAGTGCTTCCTGTGCACCAAGATACTGTGAAGGTGCTAGAGATATCATGGTAAATATGTCATCAACTCTGTCCCTAAGGAGGTCACAGTTGAAAGAGGTGCCAACGCCCACGTATCTGTTAAAGACCAAACAAGACATTGTGTAGGCAACTGCTACATAGTTTGGCAAAGACTGTAAATCACCAGAAATTGAGTAGAGCAGAGGTTGACAAGGCCTGTGATAGACAGGGAAGGCGTGACTGGGGCGGCTGGACTTCATTTGGCCCTTGAAGGATGGGGAAGATTTGGATAAACAGAGAATGGCAAATAGGGCGTATCAGGTGGGGAGAACGTGAGCAGAAGCCTTAGAAGCGGAAGCATGAGCACGAGCGTGGTAAGCTGAAAAAATTGTAGGGAACCTGGGCTGGCTGGGAGTGTGCTGGTGAGCAGTGGGAATCAAAAAGGGTGGAGAGGTAAGTTCAATTATGAAGACCCTGGAGTCAGACAAATGACGTTGAACCACATGAGCCCCTGAAGGGGTTCGCGTGTTGCCGTTGTTTTCTTGGAAGCTTTTCCCTGACTGTGTCTTTCGTCGCTGCTCTGCTTCCATTTTAAAGTCCGTATGTTCTTTCGCACTTAG